GCAGACAAAAGCATGCATTTGATTATTATAAAAAGAGAAAGTATGAAATGTTTAGAGTAGAGGTTCCCAAAGTGGTCGAAATAAGTGGCAATATTGAAGGGGAAATCGATGAAACTACTAAAACTTACAAATTTTCAACCAAATATTGTTAATCTTGCAAAGGATCACCAAGCATATCCATCTCATTGACTGTCAGTTACAAAGATTATTATTAACATATAAAATAAATGCAAAATTATAATAAATATATTAAAAAAGTAATAGCTTTTATTTCTGCTTTTAACACACTTTTTGGTGGGTGTCTATGTGAGATTTCGAAAAACTGTAAGGGGCAGAGAATCAAAAAAGTTTTGTGACCCCTTGTTTTAAGGATTATATTGAACGAACCAACTGCGAATGGACTGATATAAAAATTTCTGGACACACTAATAGAAGAGTTTAAAAGCTGGTAGAAACAATCTAGCCAACAAATAGGGTTTGCTCAATAATTATCGGGACTGATTTTTTCCTTTTAATAGGAATGGATAGAACAGCCTTTATGAGTGGAATCGGTGGAAAAGGATGTCACATGAGCTATGAGAACCGGCTCAATTGTCACTAAGCCTTTGGAATGCGTAAATCGTGCTGAAAGTAGAAGTGTTTGTGCTCGCTTTGAAAGGCAACATTCAGCAAAACATTGAGCATCGTTTTGCCATTAAATTTTGCGTTGAATTAAACAAATCCGCTACTGATATTTTTTTAGGTCTGCCGCGTTTGAAGAAAGTTCGCCGATACCTGGATGCTCCATCACGACGATGAAACTAGTCACACCTTACTAATTGTGAGAGGAACACCGGCCAAACACAACGTTTCAACGCATCTTCAACCACACTGAAGTCCGTATTTGGCGCCGCGACTTCTTTTTATCTTCTCGGATCAAAAGGAGCCTGAAGGGATATCGGTTCGGAACGATTGAATCAGTCCAAGCTGCTTTGACAAGAGTGCCTGAACAGCCTTGCGGTTGCCTAATTTCAAGGGGCATATGATGATTGGATAAAGTACTGGCAGCAATGTATTGATGCAGGAGGATCGTAACTTAAAAATTGTTAACTCACTGTACCTGTATCTTTAACCCCTTTATTCCCGATCAACTTCTAATCGATTATAGTTAAACGTAAAAAATACTTAAAACTTTAAAAAAACGAAAGAAATGCGTTAATTTTGAAGGAAAAGCTTTACATTTTATTTTCCTTTGTCTTGTCTTTCTGTGAAATTTGACAATGATAAGTCATTGTTTACACAGCTAGATGACCTTGAGAACAGTTGGAGTTGGATCCGGGGCATTCTCATAGACGTCTCTAGTGGGCAAGAGTTTAGAGTAGGGTGAATACTAGCTGGCCATATATTTTTAAATATTTTTAAAAAATTAAGATTTTAATTGCGATTTCTGACCCCCTAATTAATTAAATTCATATATAATAAAGTCTATTAATTAAAAAAATTAAAAAAACTATTGGAAGTCGTTTTGACATCAGAAAATAGCTTTAAATAACTTTACCGAAGGAAAATCTGTGTGCTAGAGCTTTAGAACGATGAATTAAATTAGATAAATAAAACCCTATTAAAAAACAATTAAGCCTTAATCGAGCCTTATCAAAGGCTAATTAAAATCGCGATAAAATTTTTTCGCGCGGGCAAAAATTTTTGCAAAAATCTGTGGACCTAAAACTTTCCAAAAATTGAAAAAAATAATTTGTTAAAAGTGGCCTTAAATTAAAAGCGATTCCACAAATACATTACCACCAGTTTTGAGATCGATACATTCGTTGCACAGAACCACGGAAAATTAGTGAAAAAATTACAAGACCTCTTGTTAATAGATAAAGAAACAGAGAAAGTAATGGATTTTGGGAATTTTTCTTTCAATATAAGTATAATCTTTTTTTCAGCATTAGTTGAATTCATGCTTTAACAAAAACTCCGGAAATAGTTAATTACTCCAATAACATGACACAACTCGCAAGATTATTATGTTTTGAATCATGTTATAGCTTTAATAACCAAATATACAGACATAAAAGAAAAAAGTTTCCATGGTGACAACGTATCACGATTGTTATGTGAAATAGTGTTTCGAAAACTGAAAAAAATATTTTGAATAACTTGTAAGCAGATATTAATATATTTTAAAAGATAAGTGGATGATGTATGTATAGTTTTGAAGATTACCAAAGGCATCACTGAATTTATTGATAAGTTTAACAGTAAAAAATAGATTGACATTATAGACAGAACAAAAAAGCATACTGCAGCTACATTTTGTAGATATAAACATAGAATTTAATAACTGATAAATAATCACAAGTGTGTGCACAAAGCCAACACATAGCTGACTGTACATTCCACCTAATTAAAATTACCGTTTTTAATACAAACTGGCAGGCACTCACCAGAAGAGCTTTTTTATATTGCGAACACTACGGTACTGTCAAAAATAATGCGAACTAAGGGCTCTGTACTAAAATGTGAAAAAACAAACATTTTTAATTTTACACACTCCCCATCAATAGCTCTCAACGCTGAAAAGCTTGAAATGTATAAAAGCAGGTTTACAAATAAATGCATTATTGCAAGAATTGCTAACAGCTTAATAGCAGCATGAAGATACATTGTACAAAATAAGTTTGGAAAAAACTTTTAATTACCTTATTTTTATTATATACTTTTGTGTTATTTATTTTGTGTTTAACTGTTATTTACTATTTACAGTTAATTTTCAGTTGTCTTCGCTTTAATTTTCAAATACAGTGGAACCTCTGTATCGACCTTAATCCGTTCTTTATACCGAATTGGACGTATACCAAATCAACCTTTCCCATAAGTAATGTAAAAATGATTAATCCGTTCTCATGAAAAAAAAATGGCTGGCTTTAAACACCTCACTTTCCTGCTTGATTTTTGATGAGATCAGCATGTATCTTTTTAGCTTTCTCGCAAATAATTGCTTCTGATACGGTGTCTTTAGCACACTGTTCTTCAGTTATCCAAAGCAAAAGCAATTTCTTAACATGGTTTAATGTCTTCGATCTCTGTTTATAAATTGATTTAACCCCTTTCACAACGTTAGCAAATTTAATAATGTCTTTATTTTCCGCGATTGTCGATATCGTCGTTCTCGGAATACGGTATGCAACAGTTAAAATCTCCAACACGCGTGCCATTTTCATATTTCTCAACAGTCTTCTTTTTTCAGTTCCATTGTGATTCTACTAATTTTTTTAGTTTTCTGTTGCTTTTCATTTGCCTTTTTGCGATTCATGATTAATGAAAATAATAAAATTTTACTTGCAAATTAAAATCAGAAGAAATTTAACAAAGTTATAAACTGTGGCACTGCAAACGTCTACTTTGGCCTGGTACACCGATAGTGCTACTTCTTCATAGATGGCGCGTATAATTGAAGCAAGTCATATATCGAAAATAATACGTTTACCGAGCAAAATTTGTTTTGTCCAAATAGGACGTATTCCGAATTGGATGTATTCTAAAGCAGACGTATACCGAGGTACCACTGTATTTAGACTTTGTTGCTTTTTTTTAATTTTATTTTTCGAACGAATTTAACGGTAAAGATATTCCTACAAATATGTAGCCTGACGTTGGCCCATTGAATAGATTGAAACCGTTTGTCAAGTAAAATAAATTTCAGCAGAAAACCGCTGTTTAAATTAATAATATATTTTAAATTACTGTGTGATTTATTATTGTTGGAAAAACTCTGTTAAATTCTTGCATAATATATAATATTTAAATTGATTTCTCAATTTTAAGCAAGAAACCGATTTTATTCGATGAGTTATGACAGAAAATACACCAATACTTGATTTAAAATTCAAACATTTATCATGTGGCTCAAAAACTCGGTTTTTTAAAAATCAATTTTGTGAAATTATGTAAAAAATGTTGTTTTCTTTAGCGGCGAAACTATAAATAGTTGCATTTTCAAACTTCGCCAGAAACCGTTTATCCTGGCCTTTTCTGTACCCGGCTAATTTTATCAAAAAATATTGCTGGATCCCAGGTGATCTAAGCGATGAAAACTCTGAGTTTTCATAGCTTAGATGACCTGGGTTCCAGCAATATTGCGTATAGGGCCAATATTAAAAAAATTGACTTTTTTCTATTTTGTGAAAAAAATTATACGCATCGATTTTTATTTTACTCTAGTAAGAAGTCAATATGGTTCACTTCCTAAACATCCTTTATCTATATTGATATTTAAAACTTCAAAAAATGATATGCGGTTGATTTACTATTGTCTATCGTGAAAATGCTCACCGTCATTCTTTTAGAGTGACTCGATTTAATTTGGTACATATTTCCGAATTCATTCACGAATGTTCGTAATCCTCACATTCTGTATCTGAGCGTGTATAATGACATAATTGTTAACGCAAATTTTTTTAAATTTATTTTTTCGGATTCAAAAGTTATGATGCTTTAAACTCAGTTCAGGCTTTTTGTTTCATTGCAGTACTTCGTTCCACTGCTTAGGAATGTTCTTTTAATTTTTTGAGGTACTGTACATTCCTGCGTTCGTTACAGAGCAGGGCCTTATGAGAATTGTAAATAATGTAAAATTAAAAATACATGCAAATTTTTTGTGAGATAATGTTATTTCTGATTTGTTACTTTGACACCTAGTAGTAGGGGAATCGTGTTCCTTCTCCTATATGATTCTGACGTCCCTCTTTTATCTGATAGAATACCACACGAAAAATTTAATTTAATATGGAACAAAAATGACTTTATTACTTTGTTAGGAAAACACTAAATTTTCGAAAATTTGATAAATTTTCACACTATTCTTACATAGTTTCACGAAAAACGAAAGTAAATGTAAAAATTAGAAAACGCTTAGAATGGAGATGACATTCTGTAAAATTAATCGTAAATTCGAGGTAATGCTTACCTGATATTTCTTGCGTTTAGAGGTAATTTTATACTATTATATTTTCCAGAGCACTATATGTGAATGCCGATATTTTCCTCCTGGATGATCCACTGAGTGCCGTTGATGTTCCAGTAGCAAAACATATATTCGAAAAGTAAATATTTAAATAATATTGTTTGTATATTTTCATATATTCTAAAACTTTGTTTATTTTCAGATGTATAATGGAATATCTGAAAGACAAAATTTGCATTCTCGTTACGCATCAAATACAATTTCTAAATTCTGCGAGTAAAATTTTAGTGTTAAAAAAGGTGAATACCTGAATTTTTTTAATAGTTTTTGTTTTATAAATCATTTTCTACAGTAACGAAAACATTATAATTTATTTTAACAAAACATAAATTCACACAGTATGAAGTTCAGAATAAAATTAACCATTATAATAAATATATATTACGTGTACTTGGACATTAATTATTAATAGGACAATTATACTGGTTTTTTAAGTTTTGACGCAAAAATGAGTAAAAAGTTGTTAAAGAGAATAGACATTCTTTATTGATCTACAGGTAGCAAAATAAAAAACGTCTATCATCTTTAAGAACTTTTTACTCAATTCTTGGGTAAAAACTTAAAAAACCAGTATAATTGTCCTATTAATATTTAATGTTGAAGTAGACAGAATATATATTTAGGAGCTAAAGGATAGTAAGGCAATAATAATTAGCCATTATAAATTTGACTGCACTAGTAAAAACCATTACAACAAAGTTATATATGGACATCTTATGATGACATATATGGACAATATGAAGAAAATAATTTTTTCAGGAAAAAATTGTTTTTCAGAGAATAATTGTTATTCCAGGATAAACACGTTACGAAAATTTGAAAAATTGTGAATCATATACGGTTGACACTTGTGAGTGTGCAAACAGTTATATTCACTTACTATACGTGGCAGTAAATGCAAAATAGGATTTTCATTGCAGTTTAAAAAATGCATTTTTAAACATTAATAAATAAGACATTTGATTCCGGTAAACTCGGTAAACATTAGATAAAACGTAATACATTTTTGAATCAAAAGTTTTGTCTGCATACATATTTATATATTAAAAATTCAAAAACAATTACGAAGTTATGTTTTTAAATTTCAGGGAAAATGTGAATTCATTGGAAATTTCAATGTATTGGAAAATTTAGAAATGCTTACAGGAATTTTGCCAAAGGAAGAAGTCGCTACAAATAGCATGGATTTAGAGACTACGGTTTTCAATGATGATGAAATATTCGGAATCGCTCAATCTGAAGTAAATGATTACATTGAAGACAATCACGACAGCGATGTGGTAAGATTAGTTTATTAGACTATTATTTCATTAAAAATTAACAGAGTAAAATAATTGACGTTAGGCAGTTTTAATTTTTATACATTTATTTTATTAACTTTTTCACATAAATCATTTTTAATTACAATAAAAATTATTTCATCATAGAGATTAATTCTTATAAACGATTTAAAAACGTCTTCATTGGATAATGCTTATATTATTATATTGCTATTAGCATTAATGTTTTAATGGCTAAACCATAATTTTGCGAAAGATATAAAAAACACCCTCTGAATCGGGATCTGACATCACATGTATATTCAATTGGGACACAAGAAACCGAGTTATACTGCAAAAGCTGGAGCTATCATATGTGGGGAACATGTGGTCTGCGACCAAACGAAAAATTTCAGACAGGAAAGCGGAAATTGATACAATTTAATACGAATATAATACAAAACAACAAAAATTTCTTTAAACTTAAGAGATTATTGACCTTCATTTCCATTTACGAGTTAACTCGTTAAGGATACCTAGAGTTACAAAAAACTCGGTCCTTAAATTTTTCAAAAAAAATTTTTTTTCTGTATATGGAATGTTTTTTAAATCTCCAAATTTTTGCAAAAATTTTTACCCGCGCGAAAAAATCTTATCGCGATTTTAATCAACCTTTAATGACGCACGATTCACACTTTATTGCCTTTTAACTGTTTTTTAATGGGAGTTTGATATCAAATTTCATTGATCCTTCTAAAGTTGTAGTGCATGGATTTTCCTAGAGTAAAGTTATTTAAAGCTAGTTTCTGATGTCAAAAACGACTTCCAATAGTTTTCTTAATTTTTTTTTTATTTAATATATTATATTATATATAAGTTTAATTAAGTCGGGGGTTGAAAATCGCAATAAAAATTTTAATTTTTTAAAAATGTTTAAAAATATAGGTCTAGCTAGTATTGACCCTACTTTAAATGCTTGTCCTCCCCAGACGTCTATGAGAATGTCTGGGGAATTTGGACTCCAAATGTTTTCAAGGTCATCCAGCTGTGTACTGACAAGTCATTGTTTACACAACAATGACTTGTCAGTGTGAAATTTCACAGAAAGGCGAGACAAAGGAAGTTAAATTTTGAAGCTTTTCCTTCAAAATTAAGGCATTTCTTTCGTTTTTTTTTCAGTTTTAAGTATATTTTATGTTTAATTATAATTAATTAAAAATTGATCGGAAATGAAGAAGTTAACAATTACCTCTACAAAAGCCCCTATCGCTGAATGAGAGAGTTTACAAATTGATTGTGTATCGATAAAATTCTTTAAAATGACTATTTTAAGAAATTTCTTCGTCGATTGTTCTTTTTGTAGATAGCTAACTTGGCAAATATATAAAACAATAGCACTTGGAAAAGGTACAGTTCCAATGATATGCTGGCATAACTTGGGAAGACGAAACAATGGAATCTTTATGAAAATTCTGATCTCAGACTGGAACTTTCGATTTGTATATACCTTCTGTTTATATTATTCTTGTTTCCCTTGTCTTTCGACATATTTAAATTTGAAAAAATCAGATAGAAAGTGAGATTATTATTCAATCTTAGAATTGTTTTTTGTTGAACTTCCTAGGGTGAATCGAACTCAACAAATGAAGAAGCAATTCGAAAAGAAGAGTAATCAAAAAACAAAATGTAATGAACTTGATTTTTAACTTAATAGATTTTAGCTTTGTTTAACAGTATAAATTTAACACAATTGATAAATTTTATAAATAACTAGCTGCAAGGACCCGCTCTGCTGGGTTTTTATTTGTATGTAATATAGTTTTTTTTATATATAAAAAACTGTTTTTCTAAGTAATCTAGTATCTAGATGCAAGGACCCGCTTAACTGGGCAAAAAGTAACGATAGTGAAGATTAAGATAATTACATTATAGCTAATCTTACCCGTTTTCACAGAATGCAAGAATTCGGTCCCCCGTTTCCAGACTAATTAGAGAATTTATACATGAGTCTAGAAATATGTTTGATTTTTCGCAAAAACGCAAAAAACCGCCTGTAAATTTTGCATGTCGCTTTATATTAACACTTCCTTTGTTACTCAACACTTCTGTTGTTAACACTTCCATTCTTAATACTTCCATTCTTAACATTTTCACTGTTAACACTTCCATTGTTACACATATTCGAAGTCAACCACTTTCAATTCCATATTTCCCGCACCCTTATAGCTATCTAGACGCAACCCCACTGGTGCACGAATGGAGACTTGGGGCTACGGTCACATACAAACTCCATTCATGTGTGATTTGCAGGTTTGGCTAAAAAGTGAAATATAGGGACACACGTCCATTTTTATATATATACTAGCTGCAAGGATCCGCTTCGCTGGGCAAAAAGTAACGATAGTGAAGATTAAGATAATTACATTATAGCTATTCTTACCCGTTTTCACAGAATGCAAGAATTAGGTCCCCCGTTTCCAGACTAATTAGAGAATTTTTACGTATAGTCAAATGAACTGTTTTCAACGTTTCTGGAACGTTTACAATCGTTTTATAATCGAACCAATATTCGAATTTTATGCTCGAATTTAATTCGAACAAATTCGAACAAAACATTCGCAATAGAAAGCCACTTTCAACCACTTTCAGCCTCATATCTCCCGCATCCTTATAGGTATCGAGACGCAACCACCCCTATACACGAATGGAGACTTGGGGCTACCACCACATACAAACACCATTCACGTGCGATGTGTAGTTTTGGCGAAAAAGTGAGATATAGGGACATACATGTCCATTTACTGGTTGAACCCTGACGCCTTGAGGCTAAAGCCGCGAGTTGTATAGCCACAGGGTCTGGACATAAAATTTATTTGATTTGCATAAATCCGTGTGATAGAATATTTCGTATTTAAGGATGTATTTCGTTATCATACGTTGGATTCTTAATAAGATTATGTTTTTGAATGATTTTTTTGCTTAGTTTATTTTATATACCGAATTTTCGGTTCCCTGTCGCGTGCGAAACGTTAAACTGCAATTCCGGTTCGTTTATTACATATATTACCGCTAAATCGGTCCCCTCTGTTTACATAGCTATAAATAACTGTAGCACGTGTTCAAACGGTCATTCAAGGACACTAGCTAAGGCAAGAATTGTGACACACGATTACTGACTCGCAAAACGATGCGTGACGCGAGTGGTGCGCACGTGACGGGCGTCAAATTTTTTGTACATAGTAATAGTACCGTTAAATCGACCCTTTTTTGCCCAGATTATAATGCAAAGGCATTTGTTTACTTTGAAACAAAACAAATGCACGTGATTTACGACCAGGGGTTAAAAGTTTACAATTACTTCCTGACTCAGCAGGAGAATGGTGGGGTTGGGGTAACTAGGTCAGGTTAATTCGTTTTAAACGTATTTCTGCTTCGAGAAGTGAATATTAGACACTATATACATATTTTTTAAACGAATATTACAATATTCAAATATAATTAGCAATGATGAGTTTTTTCCAGCGAATAGACAACATCCGGAAGTACTTCCTGAAGAATGCAGACACTTGGTGTCTGCATTTTTTTTTTTTTTTGTTTTTTCTTTCTACAACGATTTTTCTATACAGTTCGTTGAATATTCTCTAGCAGTTAGCTAGAGAATATTCAACGATAGAAACAGCTATTTTTAAAGCCATTATGTCTCTAGTTACTGTAATGTGAGGAAAATGGATGAGTCATCTGTAGGTTGAAGTTAAAACAAGTTTCCTCTCAGATAATGCATACTATATATTATTTTTATATTATTTCAACTAATTTTACAATATTTGACTGTAACTCGCAATTTTGCATGCGTTTATTTATATATTTTCTCATATTATGTAATGTTAGGAGTTGAATTTCCTGGAAAAATTTTCGAGTAATCTTCTAATCTAAGTAAAGTCAAATAACATGAAAAGTAGTAAAATTACAGATATAACATCAAGAAAATAGCTATTTCTCAACGTTTGTTTACGTTCTAACTCCGAACACGTGATTTTAGAAGTCATTGGTTCTTCGCGGGAAAATCCTGAATAGGCGGTTCTGAGAAAACACTCATTGGTTAATATTAATTCAGTCATAATAAAATTAACTAATTATAGCATAAAAGGCGTCTAAACAAGAAATTTATAGCCAATTAACGGCAAGAAGGTTTCCCATAGACATACTATAGGAAGGTGAAGTTTCCCGGGAATATTTATGACGAGATGAACTGATTTGTCGATGTTACAGTCAGACAACCTAAAAAAAAGCCAATCCAAGTAATTATATTCACAACATTTATTAAATTTTAAATATTTTAAAATAAAAAATAATAAGTATCGCTTATCACACCGGGAAGCCGACGCCATGACAGTACGTGTAACTTGACACACCCCGGTCATAAACCAATCTTTGAACGTAAACATCGGGGGTTCTATTGAAGCTAGAATGACGCGGTTTGTTTTGTTATACGTAGAAACACTTCAACTTTGTAACTGCTGTGTTAAACAATACGATTTTTTAAATTTAATTTTTTAAAATGAAAATACCTAAAACTTTTCTCTTTTTAATTTTTTTTTTCGTAAATAATTAAAACAAATACGATAATCAGTGAGAATGAAGTGTTTATAGACAAAATAAAAAACAGCGCGTCTCTAGCGCAAAAATTTAAAAACATATAGCAGTTTTAAAATATTTTACAAAAAATCTCCACAAGGAGACTTGTAATTTTAAAAAAAAATTCAGGATACAACCGGTTATATATATATAATAAAAAAATATTAATTAAATATTAAAACAATAAAATCAGTGTATTTTAAAAGCTAAAAAGTTATACTTTAAAAACAAGGTAAAATTAGAATAATTTAAAATTTATTGAAAAAAGCAACAAGAAAAACTTTCTGTCAGTCGTTACATATACTGTGTGTTTCATTTTTAGACCATTAATGATAATATTTGTTGAGATACATTTCTTATTTTTTTCTTTTGCGATTTCTGATGGTTTTCTATATTAGGAACTAATAATCAAACAAAAATTAACAGTTTTATTGGTTTTGATATAGAAATTAACAATAACACATCTGATTTGCAGTTATATGAAAAAGTTACATCTTATATTAGGAAAAGTTATATCTTAGATTCTTATGGTTCGAAAATAATATTATACTATTGCTTCAGATTTAAGAAAAATTCAACGAATAATTATATATACAGTTTAATTATTTTTCGTAGGAAGCTGAAAATAACAAAATACCACGCGACAATGCAGGAGTTAAGAAACCAGAAATTTCAGTCGTTAAAGCATACGTCAATGCCGGAGCAGGACTTTTCTTCAAGATCGTTATTTTATCCACGCTAATTATATCGCAATCCGTTACAAGTGCCAGCGACTACTGGCTAATCAAATGGTATGATATTATTATAAGTTAGCATACTTTAAGACATGAACAGATTTTTAAATAAAATGTTTAATTAAAACAATGTTATATTATATAAGCCATATTGCATTTAGCACTGGTTTCAGATACTGTATTATCAATGACCAAACAATTGCAATGAATATATAATTTTATGAATATTTCAATTTACAGTATTATGTGGCATTCAAAATAAACGTCATAATGAAATTTTCAAATATAAGATATAATCAATACAATGAATTATTTCAAAAGTATTTATATATACATATTTTTTAAAGAGTTACTATAAAATAATTTATAAATCCTAGACAAATAAATTTATTTTTTAAATTTAAACTTGAAACTTAATTAGTTAATACAAAAATGCGGTCCTTTCAGCCCACAATTTTTTTTTTTATTTTTGGAATGCTTTTTAAGTCTCCAAATTTTTATAAAAATTTTTGCCCTCGCAAAAAAATTTTATCGAGGTTTTAATTAGACTTTGATAAGTAGCCTTTGATAAGGCTTGATTAAGGCTTAATTGTTTTTAATGGGATTTGTTTATCAAATTTAATTAATCGTTCTAAAGTTGTAGTGCACAGATATGACTTTGGTAAAGTTATTTAAAGCTAGTTTCTGATGTCAAAAACGACCTCCAATAGTTTTTTAATTGTTTTAATTAATATATTTTATTATATATAAGTTTAATTAAGTCAGGGGGTCGAAAATTGCAAATTAAAATATTAATTTTTAAAAAATATTAAAAAATATACTGCCAGCTAGTATTCACCCTATCTTATACCCTTGTTTTCCGAGACGTCTATGAGAATGTCCCGGGAAATCCGACTCCAGCTTTTCTCAAGGTCATCCAGCTGTGTATACAATGACTCATTAGTGTTAAACTTCAAGGAAAGGCGAGACAAAGGAAAATAATATTTGAAGCTTTTTCTTCAAAATTAACGCATTTCTTTCGTTTTTTTTATTTTTAAGTATTTTTAATGCTTAATTGCATTAAATTAATTGATTGGTGAGCGGCAAGTGGTTCATGTCAATAGAAAGAACATTTATTACAGTACTTTACTGAAATAATATTTTCGAATGATGAAAGTATTTAAAACATTTTTGCACTAAACATCAAATATAATTTCATTTTAAAGAGCCCACCAGTGGCCAAGCTGTCTTTGTATCCTAAATACTAATAGTTTAGTCGTGGGTTCGAGCCTCTCTCAGACCGGCTGGCTACGGGCTTTTTCCACGTCTATAATGCCTAAATAAGATTCAGTTTCCCTTAAAACGATTTTCCGAAAGGCATTCACCCTTTGCAGATTGCCCAAGTGTTGCGTTGCCATAACTTAATTAAACAAACAATTTCAATTTTACTATACTGCATCATTGAGGCAGGTGAAACTAAGTACATTAGAAAAAGTTATCTGATTTAGATATCTTGTCCCAGTCTCAAGCTTTGTAGCAGTAGCTTCCAACGTCTAATTTTTTAGCACAAATGAATATATCAAAGTATGGGTAATGTTTCTCAATGATTACAGGACGGTTTTCATTTACATTAAAGTCAGTCGTATAACGATGACATCACAGCTATAAATTTCAAAATAAATTATAGAACTTTGCTTTGATTTTCATTTAAATCATATCATGTATATATACAGTTCTATTTTCGTCTACTGACTACTTTATTATTCAGAAGATTTCAACATTATTTATATATACTGTATAATTTTTATTTAACAGTGTAAATTCGTTTAGTCGTATTTTGCTATCAAACGCATATTAAATATGCCAGAAAGTTCAAAAGTTCAATTTTCATTTTATATTTTCAGGCTGCAAGATATTAACATCTATAGCCAAAACGAAGAAAATCTCGAAAATATGACATCTAATAGAAGTTTTTTTAACGAAATGAAGAACAATAGTTTTTACTATACTAAATATTTCGACATGTATGTTTATATAGGATTGATATGTGCTGTATTTCTAACGTCGTTATCTTCCGGATTATTGTTATACAAATTTTTTACAATTGCTTCTTTCAAGCTTCACAACAATATGTTTCGTTGTATCATTCGAACTCCGATAGCGTTTTTGGATAACAATCCCGTTGGTACGTAAAATGTTTTAGTTAATTTATTGTTTAAGTTACAAAGTTTCTAATAAACTACCGAAAGAAATTTTTCGATAGCGTTACTTAACTACGGATGCTGTTTATACTCTCGTTCATTGTATCACAGACATTCGTTATAAGTTTTATACAGTATATTACAGTACAATCATAAAATTATTGTTCTGTAATATGAACAGTTAAATACAGCGGGTGATCGGTTAACGAACATAATGCGTTTTTAAGACTTTGTTCGCTACATGAATTGTTCATTATCCGATTATCGATTTACCATACGTTTTTATGGGAATTTGACTAATTGGTTCGGGAGACCCCAAAAAATAAAAATATATATACATTCGTTTAGTTATATGTAATGATAAAAATACATATATACACAATATTGAATTTTTATTAGTCATGTTTTTTTTCCATTTGTGGGGGTTTAAAATCTGTCTAATGTCGATTCCTTTTCTCTTTACTTCGTGATTTTTCAACAGTAATTAACCGCTAAAACAATAATTTTTAATTTAAATAGCATTATAATTGTAGAGATCTGCAAGAATATTAACCTCAACTTCGTTTGGATGCTATTCTAAGACCGTTGTTCTGACATCCCCTCACTTCTTCAAAACATGTTTAATAGCAGATATCGTCATTAATCCTTTTTTTTTTCAGAAGAAACTTGCCGAGTTTCTTGGTGATCTTCGTTGAAGAGTTCTTGAAGTTCTTCTGTCGTCAGATCAGTTTCAGCTTCCATTTTGAGTTCTTTCATGTTCCTTATGTCTCATATGTGACTTTTGTTACTTCATTAGCTGCTTGAGTTTTCTTGATTGTACAGTATCTTTCTCAGATAAGATTGAACTGAGGCCTACTGTAGATCTGTTCAAGCCATACTGCCCAGCAACATCAAACATCTACCTATTCTATACCTTTGTCATTACACTCTCACCTTTCGAAAATAAATATCAAATCTAAATTTAACGAGCGCCGCCCGACAGTCTCGCGAATACTATAAAAGAATTGTTTCTGTCAGAAAAATATAAGGTTGGATTTACAAGGGAGAGTTTCAAAGTTTGGAGAAAAACTATCCGAGCAGTATATAACAAATTGAGCGCCGATGTTGCTGTTTCCCATGCTCCAAAAAGTTTTGAGTTGTTGCCTGAAGACCAATCAAATTCATTATTTAACGTCACTTCTTCTTATGTTTGTTCTGTGAGGTGTTCGTTATCCAAACTGTTCGGATAACGAACAACACACATTGCACAATGATTACGGGGAATTAAAAGTAAATATAGTTACTAATTTAGAAAAATCAAGTAGCTTCCTACTATGCAAACCATATTTTCTATTCCTTAAATTATTGTGTGTATAAAAATGTACCATGTACAATCATTTAGTTGTAAGAATTTTAGAAAACGTTATTTGTAGATATAAACTGTGTGATATCCCTATAAATCAATGTTTTCCAACGAGGGCGATATCGCCCCCATGTGGGCGTTTATCCATGTTCAGGGGCAATTAGTAACAATTTATATTTTGGGGGCGAAAAACAATTTACTGGGCGATATAGTAAAACATTATATTAAGAATAATTAGATATTTTATTCGTTATATCCTACAATAACTTAAAATGTAACATTAAACTAGTTACTAGTCTATTCAATGTAGTACGAATTTGGCGTTAGCCTTGTCCCTCGGCATCGGAATTTTGAAGTGAAGGGGCGATACTACGTAACGGTTTTATTGAAGGGGCGATACTACGTTGAAGGGGGCAACGGCTTGTTAGAGTTTGAAAAACACTGCTATAACTTAAATAATAATTATATCGAAATTTGTTTTTCCATAATTATTCAATTCAATTAATATTTTTTATTTTTATGTTATTCAGGAAAAATCTTAGATCGATTTTCCAAAGATGTTAATACTATGGATGATTTGATACCTTACTTTACTTATATTTTGATAAGGGTAAGTTCAATTTGAATACTTTATGTTAACGAAGCACACTGACAGTGTACAAAGTGTTTAGTCGGCGTAAGAAAAGAAGGAAAGAGAGGAGAAAGAGAAAAAGGTAAGGAAATAGAAAAGAGAAAGAAAAACCCTTTGAGCGGTGTACATAAGGTGATTCCTACTACAATTATCGTTGGTGTGCGAGCTTATGTGTCTAAAAATGTTGAACTGTAGCATACATCGTAAATAAGTAGTGCAGCTACATCAAACTTACACAGGATACAGGTTAATGCTTAAAGCCAAAGTAAAGGCTTCAAACTATTACTAAACTAATACAGATACTAATCTAGAAAGCTCTGTAAGAAGCAAAATAATTTAATTGAAACAACGTGGAGAAAGAATGAATACAGTATAATTTAACTTACTTAAATTATAGCTCACTTAATTCTAACTTAAAACTAGTTATACTAACTTAAACTTAACTTTATACTAAATAAGAATACTAAGAAAGAACAACCAGACAAGAAGTGACAAATGACATATGGGAAAGTCGCCAATTTTTTTTAATTTAAAAAATGTTTAATATTGTTGCATATAAGAGACAACATGAAAAACAATGTATGATATACAAAACAGAAACCGATCACTAAAGAAACAAGAGACACAACACAAAAAAACTAGCTTCTCAATTAACAACAACTGGAACAATAAATGCGAGCAAAGAAACTTATTTGTTGTCTGCCATTGGGGAAAGCATCCGCAAGAGATTTGCTGCGGGAAATGAATGATAATATGTAATGGTATATTGCACGTGTATAGATAAGTTTCTGTGGTATGCATGGCTAGATGTATTCTTCCATAACTTTCGCTGTCATTAAACTAATTCTAATGTTCGTGTATATATCGCAATGGAAAATTAAGTGGATAGCAGTTCGTTCTTCAATTCTGTATATGAGAATTTATGTAAAATAAAATTTTAAAAAGTAGTGAACACGAAAAGTGATGCCCACGTACAAAGGTATGTTTGTGAATTTCAGACACGCTGTTTTGTTTCAGAAACGTCAAATACAACAAATGAAACATGCATTGTAAGCTACTTTCATTATAAACTCTGCGAATGTTTCAGGTATATGAACTTTCATAGTTGTAGACAGTTTCACTGTTTTGTCAACCTATTTTTTCGTTCATTTTCATGACATTCGATAAAGTCTTCTTTATTTGAATGCCAAACTCAAATGATCGTACGCATTTTATCTTGAATTATATTTTTAAAATAAAAAGCTTGCTGCAGCTATTACTGCACATGTACTACTGAATTCGAGACATTGACAGTTGTCCCGTATGTAAAACCACAGAACATCTACAGAGCAGCTGTGTCTCACCTGATCGATGCTACATAGACTATGTAGTCAGAGAACGTATAGTATAACTTTGGTAAGTCAAGCCATCCCTCTTACATACGTATGGCAGATTATGAAAATAGTTTATTTTTACATTTTTTGCTTAAATATTTGAATGACAGCCGGGGGAACAAATGATTATAATGTGTCAACCTATATCTTCTGCAGAACTAAACAGCGAATCCGCAGAAAGCAACAAATCCCAGGAACTTTTTGGAAAGACATAGACATATAGTTTCTGAACTGTCTGTAGGGCAGAAAAAGTTAAAAAAAAAAACTATTTCTTCTTCGGAATTTTCGAAATTAAAATATTTTTTGTCATCATAAAATGAAAATACTAATACATTAAACGCATGCTAAGTAACGTGGGCAAATGTTTTTGAATCAGTAATTTAAAATTTTTTGACAAAAAACAATTAGTTATTAAATTATGATACAGTAATTCGGTAAGTTACTAAAAGCTGAATGTTCCTGTCCATTGAACTATCGTAAAATGTTTTGATCTCATTTTCTCTAGTTATAAATTGAACAGTGCAATCTTAATTCAGTAAAACTTCTCAGTACCGCTGATGGTAAAAATAAACCCAAAAATACTCAAGTGTATTTTAAATAAACTTTCTTTATTTTCGCATTGTCTGAACACTACTCTAACTGGAGATTTTATAAACACAGAAAATATGCATTCTATTACTGGTTAGAAATGCTTTGTTGCACTCTTGATAATAATTTATTTTTTAAAATAGATTTGTATGATTCTAGGAATATATTTTTAAGTAAATGCAATTTTTATCATGTTTTTACTTAAACAATTTTTATGAAACACTGAATAAAATACTGTGTTTAATATAAGAAGTATAATATAAAATCTACCATAAGTCTAAAACCATAGGACTTATGTTGCTGTCGGTTAATTTTTTTAGAGGTGGTATGGAGATTACTGAAAATACAATAACGGGTACTTAACTTTTATGGCAACATCTATACTTGCATCTTTTGCCTTTTGTTATAATATGTCGGTTTAAAAGTTTTTATATTTTTTATAATTATAAAATAGCAAACATTTTAATTTTGTAAATAGGCATTACATTTATATAAAGTTTAAATACTAATAACGAGTAAATTCTTCATTAAATTGCGAGCCTACTGGACGTAGGAAACACAATCTTCCATTATTTGCCATCTCCTTCAAACTTTAGCCATTAGCAGCATCATTTCTTCAATACACAAATTTCTGACACTCCTTGCAAATTTAAAAAAATTTCTGACAAAAAGTAGAGGAGTTATTAAGCTTTAAGGAGAATGAACAAAATCATGTCATACACACACATCCATACATACAGAAACAAGTCCCGAATTTTTCTGCATTTTATGGCATTTTAATATTTACAGAACTAAAAATCTAAAAATCTAACTCTCTTTTTCTTTATTTATTGTTATAAAAACAGTAAATGTCCCGAAAAACTAATATTGCATCCTCACAAAAAATGTAAACTAAAACTTCGCAACTTTTCAGTAATAGCGGGTCTTTCACGCGAAAATAATTAAAAGTGATTTTCCTTTTAATTGCCATGTCACGTCTAAAAACAACTGTTTTACATAATACTAATTGTTCCAGACTTGTGAACACCAGTATATACTTTTAAACAAAGAGTTGACTCTTTCAAGTTCTTGTAAAAAATTTTTTATACTTTACTTATAAAACTTAAGTTTTAAGATTTCGAACTATGTATTAGCAATTTATATTTTTTTAATTTTAGGGATACTTAATTCTTGTTGGCATGTGTGTTATTCAAGCAATCGTCTGTCCTTATTTACTTGTATTAATTGCTGTCCTTTCAATAATATTTTACGCTTTGTGGACAATTTTCAGCCGAGTGTTGAAAAGCATAAAACATCTGGAAGGAAAATGTAAGTATTCCGAATATAGAAGTGTCTTATATTTAACTTAATGTAAGGGTTAATGTAAGGGTTGCGTGCTGAGTAACAGCGACAAAATTCTGTAAACAGAGATAAAGAGACTCAGTAAAAACACTATTTTATCATGCCGAGTTAGATTGCAAAACACTATGAACAATTACTTAATTTCATAAGTTAAAGAATTTCTTAAAACTAGATTGAAACAACAATGCATTAGTTCTGTTATTACGAAGACAGATTTACTTATGTCAGAACTTTTTTGGTCACCATTAAATCAAATGTTTTATTATCATAATTGAAAACAGCCAGACTATCACTTATATAAAAATAACCAGTTAGATTACAATAACAGATTTTAAAATATGAAAAATTTTACAGAACAATATAATAAAGAATCATTTGTATTTTTTTCACTTACTTCAAGTCGATTTCAAAATATACGTTATGGTAAATCTATAATTCAGATTTTCCACGACTATACATGAAAAAGTGGATTATCCTTGATTTAAATAAACAACGTTAATTTATTTACAGAGAAAGTTATAAATACAGTAACAGCCAGCTTTGCATGGAATATACATTCCTAAACAACAAAGTGCTAAACGAGACAGCGTTAAACAAGGTTATTTTAATACAGAGTAAATAGAGAAAGAGAAACACGCAGAAAAAAATAAACAAATTTTACTTTAATCTTATCTTAATTTTTTATTAATTTGTAAAATAATATTCGTTAAAAAAACATAAAGATATGCACACAAAAATGTAAAGTTCACATTTTGTGATGAACATCTTGACTTTTCTGAAATTCTTAATTTTTGCGATAAAGTCATGTAGTTTCATTTGTCGCTTTTTATTTCTTTAGTTAAGGAAATGTCAGTAACAAGAGATTGCATCCCAAATGCCTCGTGTTGTTTTTGCACTCTTTTCAAATTCTGGATCATGCACTACAATTTGATTAACAAGTTCACTTATTGTTACCAAACGTTTACTAAGAAAATTTGTAGAGAAATTCTTCAAGCGCATTTTTAGAATCGTCAGTTTTACCTAAATTCCTTGCTGTGCCAGTTCTTAACGGTTATTGTAGATAAGGCTATCACTTGAAACCTTTAATAACTCTTTGTTATTCTGCTTGTCTACATCTTCTAGTCCTGCTGTATCGATTAGGATGATAATTTTATCAACCTAACGGTACAGCGATAGACTACTCTCGTTGAAAATTCTTGAATAACTTCATCCATAACTTTTTCCACACTTCGTTCATGCATTTATTAGTTATTTTTTCTCAAGCGAAGTCGATATCGCCAACGTCAGAAGTTTCCTAACTATTTTGATTATCGGTACCCTTGCTAAATCCACGTTATTTCAAGGCTCCCTATGGCAAATTCTAAGAAGTAAAATTCGCGAAATAGCCAATATTTTTTAAATTAAAGAGCATAATCAGTACAGATACCAATGCATTTGAACCAGGTCGGCTAGAAGTCACATCTTATCGCGTTGAATTAAAAGTAGACGTAAAATTATGAACATTTTATAATATTTTTTACGGAACCCCTGTGAGGCAGCCGCGGTGCACATTTTGGAAATCACTAGCCTATGACATTCATGACGTTATATTTTTTCGAAAATTGCACCAAACAAACATAAATTTAAGGAAAGTACAGCGCTACAATGAATTGCCACCTTTTGATAATTGGTTCGTGTTCGGAAATAATCGTTTTATATACGAATTAATGAAATTCAGCGATAGTTTGAATCAGTGTAATTTGAGAGCTTATTTTAGACTTCGAGTAGACGGCGTTATATCGAATCAGCAAATCAAGAAAACGTTAAATTAGGTCTTATTGTAGTTACAAGTGTTGTTTAAACTTTAGATGTAATTCTTTCTTAGGAAAATTTTTAGATCTATTTAGAGTGAATAATATCATAATTGTGTGATAAAAATATTTTATTTTATGAGAGTGCAAAATTAAATAGATTTTTTAATAATGGGGGTTTAAAAATTTTACAGTAAATTTATTATCATGCTTAAATCATAATTTAAAACGTTGTAATTAAACATTCAACACAATTTTTTTATATTCTGCCATACACGATTTACAGTTTTTGATATTGGCATTTCATACACACAACACCTTTAATGTCTTTACTGAAACAGTTAATCGGAGTAAGAACATTGGATCATACAAACATTAAATTCAAAGTATGTGCCAGCCACTGTTTGCTAGTAGTCATTGAACATTTCTAGCGTTTCTGAAGTACATTATGAAATTGAACCAAGCCACGTTAGCTTTGTTGTAGGGTGAGTTTGTCTTAACATATATATTAATTACAGTTTCTAAAAATTTAGAAACTTCCAGTAACTGTATTTCAATGAGAACCAGAACCAATAAGACGATCTTTTGAAATTTTCCATTTCACATGTTCAGGAATTTGACGTAAAGTTTTGATACATTTTGAATTATAAAAATATAAAGTATTGATAAAGCTTGGATTATATATTAATCTTTTTCATCTAATCCTTTTTAAAATTTATATAATTTTTCATTATATCATTGACAGCATTAGAAATATCATGAAATATATACACTTTTTATCAATATATACACATGAATTATCGGCAATATATTACTGATATAATTTTTGATATTTTAGAACATAACATCAGAAAAAGTGATTTTTGAAATCACGAATAAAATCTCTGTTCAGTATTTTATAACGGAAAACTAAATCTTAATTTTTTTAATTTTGTAGAGTATCGATTCGTAAACGTTTATATTTTAAAACTTTACTCATATTTAATTTACATATATATTTTTAAACAAATTATTAAAACGAATTTCAAATTTTGCTCTTTTATTCTGATTAAGAAATTTTCGAAAAATCATCCATGAATTCATTGTCTAATACCTAATATGAAATATGAAATCTAATATCAAATCTAATACTTGATGTTCTGAAATTAAATCTCATTTTGCATGTTTTAATATGTTTTCCGATGTGTGTAGTAGTACGTAAATATATACTTTTTTTTATTAATTCTCAGCATAAATTATTTGCAAATTCAGAAATCAAATCATAAATTGTGTGTTGTTTGACTTATAGCATCTTAATATATCTTTTTAAACATCGGATAGTATTTTTAACTATTGGTAAACTCGATTATTTTTCTCAATCAACTGATGTAATGTGTTTATTCTCTATAAGCAAAAGTAAGAAAATCAGTATTATTAGGAAATAGTTTTATTTTATATATTATATATTGTAATATATCTATATTTATATCTATATCTATATCTATATATATATATAAACGGACATGTATGTCTCTATATTTAACTTTTTCGCCAAAACTACACATCGTACATGAATGGTGTTTGTATGTAGTAGTAGCCCCAAGTCTCCATTCGTGCATAGGGGTGGCTGCGTCTCGATAGCTATAAGGGTTCGGAAGATACGAGGCTGAAAGTTATTGAAAGTGGCTTTCTATTTCGAATATTTTCTTCTAATTTGTTTGAATTTAATTCGAACAATCTTCGAATTTGTTCGAATTAAATTCGAACATAAAATTCGAATATTGGTTCGATTATAGAACGATTGTAAACGTTCCAGAGAATGTTGAAAATAGTTCGTTTGACAAAACGTAAAAATTTTCTAATTGCTCTGGAAACGGGGGACCTAATTCTTGCATTCTGTGAAAACGGGTAAGATTAGCTATAATGTAATTATCTTAACCTTCACTATCGTTACTTTTTGCCCAGCGAAGCGGGTCCTTGCAGCTAGATTCTAGATTACTTACAAAAACAGTCTTTTATATATATATATATAAAACTATATTACATACAAATAAAAACCCAGCAAAGCGGGTCCTTGCAGCTAGTATATATATATATATATATGTATGTATGTATGTATATATGTATGTATATACACATATANTACTCGTTATTCATGTAATCAGCCAAATATCTAGCGTGTGGGCGGCTAACAGCCCAGAACCAATCCCGGATAGAATTGGAAGCGTTATATGTGTAGCATCAACTCAAGGTAGTAGGCTTCCATCGGCTAAACCGGGTGAGGACGGTGCTTTGTAAAGCGCATGCGCAAATCTGGCTTTTTGGAATCTGACAATACAGAGATTTTAACTCAGCCACTAATATTCGAATATACAATAGCAATCTTATTTTTTTTTCACGTGTAGTATAGAAATTTGTAATAAGATACATAATGCGGTTATAATAAAATATTGCGCGATAATTTTCATATAATCAAAATTAATATGTATTTAATTTTTTTTTAAATACAAGGGAAGCAGCGCTTCCACACTTCTAATGACAGCACGCTACTGAAAGATATGTGTTATTCAAAACAGCATGTGTTGAACAAGATTTTTAGTTTTGTATCTCTTGTTCAATAATATGTAACAAACTTCAGGAGGTGATAATATCAGAGAATCAGTAAAAATTAATAGTACAAGCTGTAATGGCCAAATGATATCACATCTATTCCGTTATCAAAAGTAATTTTTTTATCATAAAACAGGAAAAAGATATTTTGTTCTGAAGATATGTTGTCATAACATGATTTTTACTTTTAATTCTGTATTGTTGATATCTTAATAGTTCTGTGTTGAATAAGACTTCTTTATATTTTTTTTGATTGAAAGTTTTTCAACTGATTTTTTAATTTCTTAGCTGTATTTTTATTTTGATTCTCAAATATATAAGAATACATTTTAGGTTTTATTAATGTTTCTTGTTTAAAATATCCTAATTTATTTTTGTTTATGTTATAAAATTTATAGTTTTTTGTAGACTTGCTAAAATCGATAATATTTGGAAATGACTTAAAGTCATTAAAACATTATTTGTATAAATTTGGAGCATTAGCGAATCATTATCTGTGTATAATAGATTCACATTTTTATCATAAATAATTTAAAATATTTTATAAAATGTTTGACATATTTATATGTAATTTTGTCAATTCCAATACAGAAAATCTGATATAAATTGGTTTATGTAAACATAATTTAGCTTTTTCATTTTAATATTTGTAAGATTATCATTTATAATTTGTAATTTTTTTATCTATGCTTCAAGTAAGTATTTGTGACATTGATCTCCAATCAAAGCAGTTTTTAAATTTAGACATTTTTTTACATTTGGAGGAAAAAAGTTATTATTTAATTTAAAAAAAACTTATCAACATCATTTGTCGATTTTTGTCTTTTTCATTATTAAAAAAAATATATATTTTAAGCCAAGCATCTTGGTTAAACAGGAGTACTCAATGAATTTTAGTTAATATCCACCCCTTTTCTAAATAAATCTTTAAATTTCTATAATGGATTAAATAATGTTGTTTATCAAAAAAGTGAAAATTAATTTATAATTATTATTATATTTAAAGTTTAATTTAGTTGATACAGATTTTTGCTATTTCAGTAGTAAATCATGGGAAATATTAATATGTTCAAAAGCTAAGGATAAATCATTATGTCTATCATGAACATTTTCCAGCTATTTTAAATCGACTTCTAGATTGTAGTGAAAATTATTAATTTCAGATAGATCACAGAAATCTAAAGCATTTATCTCATTTCTGGATCACCATATGAATTTATTTAGCGGTCACTAAGAACTCATTAGAAGTCCATGAAGATTATTCGCATCTATTGAACAAGGCTGATTTTTATCAAACATTTGGGGAATTAGAGGGTTAATCCACAATTCCAGGTTAGATTTCTGGTGCCGTTACAAAATACACAGGATCTATATTATGATACTTTTAAACTTAATTTTCTAAAATTTTGAAATATATCAGCTAATAAGAACATATTGATATAATTTTAAATAATGTCTAAAAATTGTACAATGAAAATTTTCCCAAATTAATTTAACCTGGTTGTAACCATCATTGCAATGGTTTTCTTCAGATACTTCATTATGAAAATATTCTTTTGATTTTTTCCCATTTGGTATTTTTGAAAGTAAAATGGAAATCATAACTAGAAAAATTATGTAGTATAATAAAAATATAGGTTTTGAAACTAAAATTTAAGTTACAGCTATTATGGGTAAAACTACAAAAATGACCTGTGATTCATAACTCAGATATCGTCACTATCAAATTTATGCTTACAAATATAAGAACAATGTCTAGAATTATCAGAAATAGTATCTATATTCATTTCTACATGTCTATTTATTTTATTCAATAAAATATTTAATTGATTTTCGATGTCAAATAAAAAATGCTTAATAGCATCTTTACCACAATAAAAAGTAGTATATAATAAAGTATCATGATTTTCAAAAACAATCGAATAAGATATCAGTTTAAGATTCTTAACAGTTTTAGTGGAACTAGAATTAAGATCTACTGCTTCTTACTTCTAAAATTTATTCAAAGTCGTTATATACACAGATAATGGACATTTTAAAATAAATATTGTTATTGTGTCTTTTTAATTGGCATACATCAGATTAATTTTTGATGTTTTTTTGGTTCAACATTATTATTAAAACCAGAAGTGCTTAAGAATCGAAATAGAATTTGATATCATTATCGAAATGTAACACTAATAGAAATTTTTTATGAAATATAGTTTTTGGAATTATTCATTACATCGATGTATACTTAGACATAACAATGTAAATAAAGTTGATTTAAACGTTAAGTTTGCAATTTTATACATACCATAATAAATTATTATTACAATAATATATACAGTATACTGTATTACCATTAAAAACACTTTGTTTTTATTGAATGCAGTAAAGACCGAAAGAATGCTTTTGAATTGAACTTAGACTTTTCTGAGTTCCTGTAAGTACAAATGTTTCATAGACAATAAACTTACGGCATAGTGGATTGGGTATTTGTGTATGTGGGAATTTTTGTATCTGTTTTTTTAATATCTGTTTTGTTTAATACTTTGTAATAAGAATCATTTAAAAGAAGAAATAGAGCTTTAAAAATTTTTTATTATAATAACGAATAAAATTTTTACTAAATCTTTCCTCCTTCAGAAATTACAAATCTTTCACGTTTTTCTTACTTTACTAATCAAAAGTTAATAGCATCAATTCCAATTGTGTACAAATTATAATGACAAATTTTGTTTTTTAAGCCATGTTTAGCATTTTAATTTTTTAGACTAATTAATAATAAAAATGCTTTTAAAGTAATTTTTCCTAACAGATTATGTCACACACAATTCTAAATCATTCCTGATATACTTTAGTGTTTCTTGGACCTAAATATTTTCCAGCAGGAAAATATGAAACTCCTTGCTCTATTTATGTATTAAAAATATTTGATGCATATAATGATCAACAAAATTGAATTTCATACAGTAATATCATGCTGTGTTTGACAGATTGCATCTTGTTAGCTTCAAACCAAAACACTTCTGCAGTTTTAATGTACTTTCGATTGTAAATAGCTTTTTTATTCCAATAGAGCTGCCAACAGAAATTTATCAACGTTTTGATCATCATGAGTAGGTCTTGTGAAACTTATGATAGGTCATTCAGTTCGTACTGAAATCAACTACAGGAGATATTGCTATTCTTTTCTGCAAGAAATTATTACAATATTTAAAAACTTTTTGTGGTTTTTGGTTTGACATAATTTGGATAAAATCTTTCTCAATTACTCTTTGCATAAACAGAGAAAAGTTCTGCTTGCATTTTAACTTACACGCAAATGCGATCAGTACTTTCTTAGATACAGGTAAAATGTTCTGGTTGATTTTTAAAAATAATAATATTATAATTATTATATTAAACTAGCTGTTACCCGCGACTTCGCCTGCAAAGGTTTTGCAAGCAAATTCCATTTATTTTGTATTTCAACACTTATAGTAATTGTTATATAACACAAACCACTGACAATGATGAGAATTGCTTATAATCAAACGAACTATTTTCAATTTGATCAATTTTCTGAAACGTTTACAATCGTTCTATAATTAAACCAATATGCAATAACAAATTCGAATTTAAAACGGTTCGAACATTCGGTTAAAAAATCGAAATGTATATAAATATTTATAACAATGTCTGAAATGTTATCAATTTAATACACCTAATTACTTAATAAAGACTAAACGTAGTTGAAAACAAAAAATTGCATGTCAAATAGTACAGTAAAAGCTGATCTTCCGGTTACGCTTTAATGTGTTCCCTTTCCTCCTACTGCGAAATTTCGAAAAATCTCTTCTTTGTGTGCATTTCCATGGCGTACACTACTACAACGCAGTTAAAAACAACAAATCTTATCTAAAATAGTACAATAGAAGCCGTTTTTCCGGTTAAGACTTAATGCTCTCTCTCCCCCCCCGCTTGAGAATTTCGAAAAATCATTTTTTATTGTGTGTTTCCATGACGTACTCTAAGTGTGTACCAAATTTCACTTATTAGGTTCAGCGGTTTGCTCTGGGCAATGATGAATCTGTGATTCAGTCAGTTAGTCACGACAAGTAATTTTATATATTTAGAAAAAATAATAAGATAATAATTATTATATTAAATACAGCTTCGTTTAAATTACTGATTTCTTTATTTGACAGTGAGAAGTCCAGTATTTTCTCATCTGAGTGTATCTCTTTACGGACTAACAACAATTAGAGCATTTAATGCTGACAGCAAATTTAAGTCTATGTTTAATAAGTATCAGGATAAGCACACTTCGACGTGGTTTCTTTACTTGGCATTAAATCGATGGCTTTCCATATACGGTCAGATAATTTGTTTCATAAATCTAATAATCACCGTTATTGTTTTAGGTGTTTCAAATAATTCAGGTGAGTGAATATATTTATATGTTTTCAGTTTATAAAATAAATAATTTTTACTAGCTACTTGTGGTTTTAGAGAGTGCAGGAAGCCAAATTGGACTTGTATTGAATTATGGAATACTAATAGTAATATATTATCAACATATTATTCAATTTACATCCGAAGCGGAATTTCAGGTATTACATATTTACTCAATTAGATTAAAAATCATAATTTCAAATATATGGTCACATTTCTTTATTGGGCAATATCAAATTTTTTAGAAAGATAAACTTCTTGTAAGAGAAAATTTTCTTATAACCACATTGCAAAAATTTTACTTATTATTTTATACTACGTATATTAAGAGAATAATGCCTAATAAAAAAATTCTTATGTTGGTTTGATAATAGTGATATTATTAAATTTAGAAATGTTTTTATTCAGTTACTCAATAGTCAAAAAAATATTGAAAAATACTGCAAATATTTGATTAATGCATTTCAATATACACAGTAACATCGAAAAAATTATGAAACACTATTATCAAAGAAATCCAATAGTAAATAACCCATATACAGTGGAAATCTGTTATAGTGATATTGGACCTACTCGCTTTCCTGTTGAGTTGGCCTTGCCAAAGGGCTATATCAGGAAGTTGTGTACAATGTGATCTGTCTTATATATATGTGTGTTGCTAGATTTATATTTATATGGTTTATTATTGATTGCACGTGTTTGGCTTCGAAAAATGCTAAAGTTAAAATTCAAACACAATGTTAAAATAAAAGCTTAAAATTAGAAAAAAATGTCAATAAAAAATTTTCGAACACTGTAACAGATACGTAAGAGATTCAAATGCTGGAAAGTTTAATAAAATCATTACTTTTTATAATAAGTTCCTTTAACTCCGATACCTTCAGACTATCGTCTATTGTGCCACAAAGCTCTTCTGCCACGATCCGCAGATCGATGTTTTTAACACTTTTTACGCTTAGCATTCTGCCTGAAATTTTGTTCTCGACAAGGTGAAAAATTTTTTTTACCATTATTTCAACGTAAAACCTGTATATTCTTTAAACCTTTGTATGTGTCCCAACTATCCTGTCAGCTGCGCCAATGTAGGTGATCCTATATTACTACAGCTCCTTTAAAAAAAGTTTAAAGAAGAAGAATTTGAAACACTTTTTTAATCTTCTCGAACAACAAACTTTTTCTTAATTACAAACTACAAACAAGAGAACAAGAAGCAATCAAGAACTTTATATTATACGAACTGTTACCGCGACTTTGCCCACAGATGTTTTGCAAGCAAACTCCATTTATATGCAGTATTTCAACAACCATAGTAATTGTTAAATAACACTTACCGCTGGAATGATGACAATTGCTGAGAATCAAACGAACTATTTTCAATTTGATAAATTTTCTGAAACGTTTATAATCGAACCAATATGCAATAACAAATTCAACTTTAAAACGGTTCGAACGTTTGGTTAAAAAATCGAAATATATAAAAATGTTTATAACAATGTCTGAAATGTTATCAATTTAGTACACCTAATTAGATATTGAAGACTAAACGTTGTTAAAAACAAAACATCGCATCTAAAATAGTACAGTAAAAGCCGTTCTTCCTGTTAAGCCTTAATGCTCCCCCTCTCCCCCCGCTGGGAAATTTCGAAAACACCTTTCTTAGTGTGCGTTTTCATGACGTACTGTACCCTAACTGTGTACGAAATTTCACCTCTTTAGGTTCAGCGGTTTGCTCTAGACGATGATGAATAAGTCAGTCAGGACAAGTAATTTTATATATTCAGATTTTCCCTTTTTCTTTTACAATATGCATCAATTTTTAAAATGATTTTTTAAAAATATTTTAACACTGTTTTTGCTAAAGTATATGTTTTTTCATAATCTTATAATTATTGTCGCCTGTTGAATATTTATGCATATCTTTTCTACTATTTCGAGTAATTGCATCATTGACTCCGAATAGATTTTGAAAATTTGTTGCGTCAATTTCTTTTTCTTTTGCATTTTTTCTTCAGTACATTATTATTAAATTTTAATTATAAAAATAAAAATTTTTTATCTCTTTTAATAATTTTTTAACCTTAAAATTTTTATTTTAAGGTTTTTTTTAAAATTATTGTTTAAAAAACCTTTAAGAAATACAAGTAAAATTCACTTTTTCATCTTTAATTCTCTCAAAATCTTTAGTTATTATTTTTTATATTTAAATAATTGTACCTTATACATGGATTTCAACCGAATATATTCACCTTCTCCCATTTATTTTAAATATTTTAATTGAAATTTAAGTAAATAATTTCTCTTACAACCTAATTCTTTATTATAAACTAGCTGTTACCCGCGACTTTGTCAGCGGAGGTTTTGCAAGCAAACCCCATTTACATCCAATATTTCAATAACCATAGTAATTGTTATATAACACCTACCGCTGAAGAGAATTGCCGAAAATCAAACGAACTATTTTCAATTTGATCAATTTTCTGAAACGTTTACAATCGTTCTATAATCGAACCAATACGCAATAACAAATTCGAATTTAAAAC